CTAGTGCAGACATCGTGGACCTCGTCCACGATCTCCGCACTAGGCACAGGAAAGTGGCCGTCTAGGGCAGGAGAGCTGCCAGCCTGGCCACCCAGGAGCAGGTGTGCATGAAAATCAAGGTGGTCCACTGAGACCCCCGACCCTGAGCCCTGAGCTTACAATGGCCGTCCTGGGTCAGACCAAAGGTCCATCTAGCCCAGTAGCCTGTCTGCCGACAGCGGCCAACACTAGGGACCCTGGAGGGGATGGACCGAAACAATGACCAAACCATTTGTCTCGTGCCATCCCTCTCCAGCCTTCCACAAACTTTGGGCAGGGATACCACTCCTACCCTCTGGCTAATAGGACTCCATGGACCCAACCTCCATGACTTGATCTCACTTCCCTTTAAACTCTGTTCTAGTTGTAGCCTTCACAGCCTCCTGCAGCAAGGAGTTCCACAGGTTAACTCTTTGCTTTGTGAAGAACAACAACTTTCTCTTACTAGTTTCAAGCCTGCTACCCATTCCTTTCCTTTGGTGTCCTCTAGTCCTTCTTTATGGGAACTCATGAAGAACTTTTCTGGATGCACCCTCTCCACCCAACCCCTGCTTTTAGAGACCTCTATCCTGTCCCCGCTCCATCTCCTCTTTTCTAAGCTGAACAGTCCCAGTCTCTGTAGCCTCTCTTCATCTGGGACCTGTTCCCAACCCCTGATCATGTTAGTTGCCCTCCCCTCTCCCAGCCTTTCTCTTCCCCTCTCCCACCTCCTTTTCCCAGTCTCCCTCAGTTTTGTTCAATAGAGACAGAGTCAATGTTGGAAGAAACGTTATCTTTATTTTGTACATCAATAAGAAGGGGGGCTAGGGAAGGGTAAGTGGAAGGAGGTGAGGGAGGAATGGGGTACGAGCCCCCGATGGGGAGGCCTGGGCTGGCTCTGCGGGCTTCTGGGGGTGGAAGCTCTCCTGCAGCCCCCCAATTGCCTCCTCTCCCCAGATGGCAGCCTGCGGCAAGTGCAGCCGGGCTGATGGCCGAGTGCTGTGATGTGCCCAGTGTGGCACTCCGGGCAATCCAAGCCAGGACTGGTTTTCAAGCGGGGCACCCCTGAGAACTGTCTGTCTGGGGTGGGGGTCGGGTCCCTTTAAACGCAGCCCTCGGCTAGCCTGAGACAGCATCTCCACGCTCTAAGTCCTTCTCTGATGCCCTGCCGGCACTGCTTCCGGCCATCCTTAAGCCCTGTTCAGGGTCCACTCAATGTGGACATGCTAGTTCGAATTAGCAAAACGCTAATTCGAACTAGTTTTTAGTTTTAGACGCGTTAGTTCGAATTAGCTTAGTTCGAATTAACTAATTCGAACTAAGTTAGTTCGAACTAACTCTGTAGTGTAGACATACCCTAACAGACTTCAGTGTGAATTGTGAATTTTAGCTCTCATCAAAACGCACGATAAGAGCAAGTCCATATAATCTGAGTCCATATAATCTTTGTGTGAACTTTACAATATTGTCTTAATCAAACACTAAATACTTACAATTGCCTCTCCAACTATAGGAAGATACAGAGAACGAAAAATATTCTACAGACAAACAAAAAATGAGTCATTCACAGGTGAGTTTAAAAGATTGCACAGAAAGCGCATTTTATTAGAAATGCAAATATGGCAGGCATGAATAAAGGAGAAAAAACAAGGGATTCAGATGAGTTTTGGCAACTTACTTTATAAATAAGATCCCAGTATATGGTATACTATACTGTGTAAGTGCCAAGAAATTATTGCATCGTGGGAATGTATGTACCACTGATACTTTGCCCATTCCACTGGAAAGAACTACATTGTAATGTAAAGCTTCTGCCTTAATGGGGTGGGGTAGAGCGAGAACAGGATCTTGCATGCCACACCTCTGTGAAAGGTGAGCATTTTTTACGATTAGGCTCATTGTTTTCTACAATAGAAAAGTTTCACAGGTGCATGTGACAAACCAGGTACAATCCAGACTAATGAGCAGCTATGTCATTCCTGACCTGCAATCTTGGGTACCTTACAATGGCTTGCTAAAGTAGCACCCACCTGGCTGCTCGAAGTCTTCCAGCATGCTAGTCTGTGTGTGTGCGTGTGCGTGTGCGAGTGCGTGTGCGTGTGCGTGTGCGTGTGTGTGTGTGTGTGTGTAAAAAACTGTAGTATGCCAGCCACATGTGGGTTACATTCTGGTTCTCACTAGCTTTCACAATACTTCAGGGTAAACCCAACATGCCCTGCCCCCCATGAATTGTATGCCCATACTGTCCAGCACTCTCCTGGACAATACAAGTTATATTAAGTCCATTATTTTTTTGAGGCTAATATGCACACAACTTGTTACTCCAAATGGAGTTACCTGGACATTTCAATATAAACACACTGAATTAGATAAAACAGCAAAACAAGGTTATTCACTACAAAGGGATAGATTTAAAGCACATACATCTAATGAAGCATATAAGTCAGAAATGGTGACAAGAAAAATAAAGATATGGTATTTATAAATTATATCGATGGCCAGGTCTACACTGCAGTGGGAAGGTTGGCTTAAGATACGCAACTCCAGCTACGTGAATAATGTAGCTGGAGTTGATGTGCCTTAAGCCGAGCTTGACACCGACTCCTCAGCGGTAGGTTGATGGGAAAAATGTTCCTGTCCACTTCCCTTACTCCTCACGATAGCAAGGAGTACTAGTGCTGACGAGGGAGGGATCCCCTAAGCATTCAATTTAAGGGGTCTTTCCTAGACCCACTAAATCAATCTCCAGAAGATCTATCACCAGAGCATGGATCCTCTAGTAAGCAGAGACATGGCCTAAGTCAAGCAATGTTTCTCACCACATGCTTTCAGCAGTCTTAGGCTACTTCTACACTGACATGATTTTCCGGAAATTCTTTTAACGGAAAAGTTTTCAGTTAAAAGCATTTTCAGAAAAGCACGTCTAGATTGGCAGGACGCTTTTCCGCAAAAGCACTTTTTGTGGAAAAGCGTCCGTGGCCAATCTAGACGCGCTTTTCCGCAAAACAGCCCCGATCGCCATTTTCGCAATTGGGGCTTTTTTGCAGAAAACAAATCTCTGCTGTCTACACTGGCCCTTTTGCGCAAAAGTTTTTCGGAAAAAGACTTTTGCCCAAACGGGAGCAGCATAGTATTTCCGCAAAAGCACTGACAATCTTACATGAGATCATCAGTGCTTTTGCGGAAATTCAAGCGGCCAGTGTAGACAGCTAGCAAGTTTTTCCGCAAAAGCAGATGATTTTGCGGAAAAACTTGCCAGTCTAGACACAGCCTTAGGGTATATCTAGACTACATGGCTCCGTCAACGGAACCATGTAGTCTAGACATACCCTTACTGACCAATACCTGAAGGTCAGGACCCCATCTTCCCAAGTCCAACAGATGCTGCCTTCTCCTTTTAGGTGAAGTGAATGTGAGGGACAGGAATAGAGAAGGATGTACTGGGGTGTTTGTCTCTCCACTTTGTAGTTTCAGTCCCTATCTGAAAAATATTTCCAGCTATGTGGAAGGCTGTTTCCTCCTGTTGTTGTTTTTTAACTGTTTGAACTTCCTTAGTCTTCCCTTCTGGTTTGATTACTCTGTTTACTACTTACATGTAAATTAAGCAGAGCACACATTCCTTTATTTAGGACATAACTGTTTGCCAACGTCTGTGTGGGCAGGGCTGTAGAGTTTGGAACATAAAGGGAAATCTTATAAATGTCACATAATGTTGCCACACATTTTATCAGGACAATCCTGACCAGCAAATTGAGTATCAGTTGCTGCCATACATAGACACATAAAGGCCAATTTTTATGGTAGACTTGTTGTCAGACCTTACCATTATTTTGTCCATTGGGGGGAGGTTGATATACAACTTTCTTAAGGTAAGAATCTACATTTTTATACACTTAAAACTCACACCGGGGCAATCATCAGCTGATATAAATGGAGCTATGCTTACTTACCCCAGTCAAGGATCTAGCCCATTCAAATGGGCTACAGGGCCAAAACCTGACAATGGAAGATCTGACTGTAGATTTGTTTATGAATTAATATAATTTTTATCTGTTGCTTACTTCTAACCAAATATACTGAAGTGCCAACATAATCTGATGTCTATACATTCCTGAAAGTGCATTGTTTCTTTGTGTATTATAATAGTACCTGGGATCCCAAGGCATGAAGCAGGAGCACATGGTGCCAGATAATTACAGCTACATTTTAGTTGTGGGTATTTTTAGTAAGTCATGGACTGGTCACAGACAGTAAACAAACAAAACAAAATTCATGGCCTGTGAGACCCATACATGATTTGTACTATAGCCCTGACTAAAACTTGGGGGAGGGCACAGCCTCGGGGTGCCATGGGCACCTAGGGGGCAGACCAGGGGGCACTGTGGGTGCTCAGGGTAGGTAGCCTTTGTGGGTTCTCTGGGGAGAGCAGACAAAGACTGGTGTTGAATTAACAATGAATTTTAACATGACATTTTTCTGGGCATCTAGGAGTCTATGGAGGTGACTTTGAAAACCGACGTGGAATCTGGTGCTAGTGGTTTTAGCGTGACTGGTGGAGGAAATGAAGGAATATTTGTCAAACAAGTGCTCAAGGGATCTCCTGCTTCGAAAATATTCAATTTGAGAGAAGGTACACTCTGATATTCTGGATTTTTTAAAAACACAGTTATCTAGAAAATCCCAAAGTTTGTATGTAACTACACACACACACACCATCATATGTTCAGATACTAGCAAAAATAGGTCCCAGTCCTGCAAACACCAATGCATATGTTTACCTTTACTGTCATGCAGGGGGTTGCAGGGTCTGAGGCAAAACAGCCCCTGCTGGCTTGAGGACTCTTCCCTACATCGGCAGCTGGGCCAGCAGTATGGATCCAGCCTGCGGCCTACTGTGGGGCTATTGTTGGCTATAGCCACAGAGGCTCAGATCTCCAGAAAGAGGAGAGGACTTGCTGCTCTGAAATCTGGTGGCCAAGCTGGTCACTGTCTCTGCTAACTGCCTTCAAGATGGCAAGCCCTGTGGAAGTGGTGGATTCATCTTCTGGGACCGACCACATCAGTCAATCCCACCAGCCCACAGGGTCCCTCAAAGAGGGGGGGGGGGAGAGGGGCTGGAGCAATTACCCTGATTCACCCTACCCAAGGGACAACTCTGCTCTTATGAGCAATCTGCAGGATCAGTGCACAGGCAGAAATTGTGGAAAAACAGCATCGCTTGCCTGGTAACCTCAGTCGTGCAGAACGCAATGCCATCCACAGCCTCCGGAACAACTCTGACATTATAATCAAAGAGGCTGACAAAGGAGGTGCTGTTGTCATCATGAACAGGCCTGACTACCTAAAGGAGGCTGCCAGACAACTCTCCAATACCAAATTCTACAGGCCTCTTTCCTCAGATCCCACTAAGGAATACACTAAGAAACTGCACCATCTGCTCAGGACACTCCCTACACAAGCACAGGAACAAATCGACACACCCTTAGAGCCCCGACCAGGGTTGTTCTATCTATTACCCAAGATCCACAAACCTGGAAATCCCGGACGCCCCATCATCTCGGGCATTGGCACTCTCACTGAAGGACTGTCTGGCTATGTGGACTCTCTGCTCAGACCCTACGCCAACAGCACTCCCAGTTACCTCCGTGACACTACGGATTTCCTGAGAAAACTACAATGCATAGGTGATCTTCCAGAAAAAACCATCCTAGCTACCATGGATGTAGAAGCTCTCCACACAAACATCCCACATGCAGATGGAGTACAAGCTGTCAGGAACAGTATCCCTGATGATGCCACAGCACAACTGGTGGCTGAACTCTGTGAATTTATCCTCACACACAACTATTTCAGATTTGGTGACAACCAGATTTGGTGACAACCACTTCAGACCAGTGGCACTGCTATGGGCACCTGCATGGCCCCACAATACGCCAACATTTTTATGGCTGACCTGGAACAACGCTTCCTCAGCTCCCATCCACTTACACCCCTTCTCTACCTACGCTACATCAATGACATCTTCATCATCTGGACCCATGGGAAGGAGAGACTGGAAGAATTTCACCATGATTTCAACAGCTTCCACCCCACCATCAACCTCAGCATGGACCAATCTACACGGGAGGTCCATTTCCTGGACACCACGATACAAATAAGTGACGGTCATATCAATACCACCCTATACAGAAAACCTACCGACCGCTATACTTACCTGCATGCCTCCAGTTTCCATCCCGGACACACCACACGATCCATTGTTTACAGCCAAGCACTGAGGTACAACCGCATATGCTCCAACCCCTCAGACAGAGACCTACACCTACAAGACCTTCAACAAGCATTCTGTAAACTGCGATACCCACACGAGGAAGTGAGGAGACAGATTGACAGAGCCAGACGTGTACCCAGAAGCCTCCTGCTACGGGACAAGCCCAAGAAAGAAACCAACAGAACACCACTGGCCATCACCTACAGTCCCCAGCTAAAACCTCTCCAACGCATCATTAGTGACAGCAACTATACACCGCACCATAATAACACAAACTCAGGAACCAATCCTTGCAACAAACCTTGGTGCCAACTCTGCCCACATATATACACCAGCAACACCATCACAGGACCTAACCAGATCAGCCACACCATTGCTGGTTCATTCACCTGCACATCTACCAATGTAATATATGCCATCATGTGCCAACAATGCCCCACTGCTATATACATCGGCCAAACTGGAGAGTCCGTACGTAAAAGAATCAATGGACACAAATCTGATATTAGGAATGGCAAAATACAAAAACCTGTAGGGGAACACTTCAATCTTCCTGGACACACAATTGCAGATCTAAAGGTAGCCATCCTGCAGCAAAAAAACTTCAGGACCAGACTTCAAAGAGAAACTGCTGAGCTACAGTTCATCTTTAAGTTTGACACAATCAACTCTGGATTAAACAAAGACTGTGAATGGCTTGCTAACTACCAAAGCAGCTTCTGCTCTCTTGGAATTCACACCTCCAGATCAGCTGCTAGAAGTGGGCCTCATCCTCCTTGATTGGATCCACCTCGTCATCTCCAGCCTGATCCTGGCCTGCATATTTATACCTGCCTCTGGAAATTTCCACTACATGCATCTGATGAAGTGGGTCTTTGCCCATGAAAGCTTATGCTCCTACACTTCAGTTAGTCTATAAGGTGCCACAGGACTCCTCGCTCCTAACACAGCTACCTCTCTGATACTTAAAAAATATGGATTTCTTATAAATCATGAAATACACTACTCTTCACTAGAACCAGCCAGTGTTTTTTAAAAAATAATATAATTAACTCATTACATTTCAAAGGTAGAAATAACTTACATCTATGAAGAATGTAGCCCAATATGCAATAAGTCTTTTACGAACTATTATGTGCATGAACACACAATAATTCAATAAATAATACTGTTTCAACAACTAAAACTCCATAGCATACATATTAAAAATCGTGATATGCTTCATATAATCATCATATGTTAATGACCCTTTATGTGTATATGATCATCGAGAAAACTGTGATTTGAAAAGCCATATCCTATAGCAAACTGATAAATATATGGTATCATTTGCAGGTGATCAGCTATTGAGTGCCACAATATTTTTTGAGAATATCAAATATGAAGATGCACTCAAGATTCTACAATATTCTGAGCCATACAAGGTACAATTCAGTCTCAAAAGAAAACTCTCTGGGAAAGAAGAGCTAGAAAAACTACATTCGACAACGCAATACAAGAAGGAAAAAATAAGTCAGGTAAAATTATTTCTGTATTATGTTAGAAAGAATAGGAAAATACTACAGACATATTATATGTTAATATTGGAGATGGAAAAATATAGACCCTTGTCCTGAAAACATACACATGCTTTACTTTACCGCCTTTATGATACTGTTGGACAAAACCTGAAGTTCTCTCTCACGCTATATCTACGCTGCAGAGGGTAGGGAGGGCATTGGAAAAAGATATGCAAATTGCAAACCTCAATTTGTGTACCTTTTTCCACTTGTTTTTTCAGAAGAGGCTTTTCGACATTTGGCTCACCAACACGGGGCCAAATGTCAGAAAAACCTTCTCTTTCAGAACATCCCTTATTCCTCATAAAATGAGGAATACAGGGGATGCTGAAAGAATGCGCACGCTTTTTCAGAAACTGTTCCAAAAAAGCAGACGCGTTTCCTGGATGCGGCAGAGTTTTTATGGGATGCCTCCTGTAAAAACTCTGCAGTCTAGACATAGCCTCAGGGTGAAATCAACTCCTCTTCAGAAAGCTCGCATAAAACTTATGCACCTCTTCAGCCAAATCAAGCCTTCTGTACAAGGGAGTAGTTCACTTAAGTCCTTAATCAAGCTAAGCTTGCAATGAATATGATAGCAAGTCAGTTTTTTTGAAGAGAGAACTCAAAATTGGATCCAGCTTCCATTAAAATGAATGGGAACAGAAACAGGT